TTTGCTGGCCTTAAATTCACCTGCATCAGCATTTGTTTCAGGCAGATTCTTTATGAGATTGTCAAGCAACTGCCTTGCCTTTTCATAAATTATAGACTGCACAACATTATCCCCTGCTAACTCACTCTCTCTGACCCACACCAACAACTTCTGCACTTCAATTGTTTGGGATCTTTGTTTGGTTATTACATTCACCCCTTTCACAACATCAGCTACCATGATTTCTTTTCTCTTTGCCACAATGGAACTGATTGTTGATGGTGACTTCCTGTACATCCTGCCGAGTTCAGCAATGCATATGCCACTATCATATTTCTTATTTCTTTCTTCAGTTCTATGGTGTTCCTTACTTTCTTTACCAAAGCACTAGCACTAGGAGCTTTCTTTGGGGCCATTGTCACTTATTTAGCAGTCACAATAAACAAGTGGCAAAAACAATAGATTATTATGAAATGTTTCATATGACCTGGCAGGATATGTTTACTCACTGAGAAACAACGCTACACTGGCTGAGAATGCGTGTAGGAAGTGGCTTTGTCTGCACACTGGGCACTGGACAGGTTCTGTATGATCGACGAAAACGGAACCAAAAAATCAACGAAAAAAGTTGGCCAAAAACGAAATCGGCAATAACGGAGATCAACAAAACAGAGGGTCCACTGTATCTCTTATGGGGAAAATGGTTTCAGTTTTAGTAAATTTCACATTTCATCAGACTCTCTGGAATGGATTAATAAGAACACAAGAAAGGAGGATCATTGCACCAGGCCCGTTGGCCCATACTAGGCAGGTCCTTTGCAATCCATCCCACTAACAAAACATTTGCCCAACCTAATTTTCAATGCTACCCAAGAAATAAGCAATGATAACTCTATCCACTCATTCGCAAGTCCCACTCAAATCCAACCCCTCTCACTCATGCATTTATCCAACCAAAATTTGAAACTACCCAAGGTCTTAGCCTCACTAACCCAACTAGGTAGACTGTTCCACTCATCAACTACCCTATTTCCAAACCAATACTTTCCTATGTCCTTTCTAAATCTAAACTTGTCTAATTTAAATCCATTACTGCGGGTTCACTCTTGGAGAGAGATCCTCAAGACCTTATTAATGTCCCCTTTATTAATACCCATCTTTCACTTATACACTTCGATCATGTCTCCCCTCATTCTTCGTCTAACAAGTGAATGTACTATAATTATTATTAATTTAGGGAACTGGAGCACAGATCCAATTCCCAAGATCAAGAGTCCCTCACCAGTGTCAAGGTTCCCCGACACTGGTGTTTATGCACCTGGAGAAGAGAGAAGTGTAGAGGAGAGAAAGAGATTTTGGGAGATGTTGAGTGAGTGCATAGCAAGCTTTGAACCAAGTGAGAGAGTACTTGTGGTGGGGGACCTAAATGATAAGGTGGGTAAAACTACTGTGGAGGTAGTAGTAGGTAAGTTTGGGGTGCCAGGGAAAAATGAAAATGAGGAGCCTTTAATTATGTACAGAAAGAGGTTCGGTAATAAGAAATACATATTTTAAGAAAAAGATGATAAATAAGTATACAAGATATGATAAAGCATGTAATAAAAGTACAGTGGACCCCCGCATAACGATCACCTCCGAATGCGACCAATTATGTAAGTGTATTTATGTAAGTGTGTTTGTACGTGTATGTTTGGGGGTCTGAAATGGACTAATCTACTTCACAATATTCCTTATGGGAACAAATTCAGTCAGTACTGGCACCTGAACATACTTCTGGATTGAAAAAATATCGTTAACCGGGGGTCCACTGTACGTAGTTTATTAGATTATGTCCTGGTGGATAAAAGGCTGATGGGTAGAATTCAGGATGTGCATGTTTATAGAGGAGAAACAAGATATATCGGATCATATTTAGTTGTAGCTATAGTAGAGTAAGAAGTAGATGGAGCAAAAGGAAAATGGCAACAGCAAGTAAGAGAGAAAATGGCAACAGCAAGTAAGAAAGAGGAGTGGTTGGTGGAATGATGAGGTAAAGGGTGTGATAAAACAGAAAATGGTCATGTATGAGAGATTTTTAGAGAAGAAGTGATATAAGAAGGGTGGAGTATAGAGTAAAAGAGATGTGAAGAGAGTGGTGAGGGAATCCAAAAGGAAAGAAAATAATAGCATGGGTGAGGCATTGCCAACAAATTTTGCTAAGAAAAAAATTTTGGAGTGAGATAAACAGGTTAAGAAAACCTAGGGAACAAATGGATTTGACAGTTTAAAACAGAATAGGGAAGTTAGTAGATGGGGAATTGAAAGTATGTATTGGGAAGATGGCAGAAATGTTTTGAGGAACTGTTAAATGGTGATGAAGAGAGGAGTCAGTAATTTTATGTATTGGACAGGGAGGTGTAACATCTTTTAGGAGTGAGGAACCAGATGTAAGTGTGGGGGAGGTGCATGAGGCATTAGGTAGAATAAAAGGGGGTAAAGTAGCTGGAATTGAAGGGATTATGACAGAAATGTTAAAAGAAGGGGGGTATACAGTGTTGGAGTGGTTGGTATTTTTGTTCAATAAATGTTTGAAAGAGGGGAAGGTACCATAGGGGAAGAAGTTTACTGAGTATAACAAGTAATGCCCTAGGTAGTAGGTTGGTAGACAGCAACCGCCCAGGGAGGTACTACCGTCCTGCCAAGCGAGTGTAAAACGAAAGCCTGTAATTGTTTTACATGATGGTAGGATTGCTGGTGTCCTTTTTTCTGTCTCAATAACATGCAAGATTTCAGGTACGTTTTGCTACTTCTACTTACACTTAGGTCACACTACACATATATGTACAAGCATATACATACACACACCCCTCTGGGTTTTCTGCTATTTTCTTTCTAGTTATTGTTCTTGTTTATTTCCTCTTATCTCCATGGGAAAGTGGAACAGAATTCTTCCTCCGTAAGCTATGCGTGTCGTAAGAGGTGACTAAAATGCCGGGAGCAAGGGGCTAGTAACCCCTTCTCCTGTATATATTACTAAATTTAAAAGGAGAAACTCTTGTTTTTCCTTTTGGGCCACCCCGCCTTGGTGGGATACGGCTGGTGCGTTGAAAGAAAGAACAAGTAATGTGTATGGTAGGGTTGTTACTGAAAGAATTGGAGATAAGACAGAGAGCAGGATTACAGATGAATAAGGAGGCTTTAGAATGGATAAGGGATGTATATATCAAGTGTTTACAGCATATAAGTGAACAATATTTAGATAAAGGTAGGGATGTTTTCATTGCATTTATGGATTTAGAAAAGGCATCTGATAGGGGAGCAATATAGCAGATGTTGCAAGTGTATGGAATATGTAATAAGTTACTAAAGGCTGTAAAGAGTTTTTATGAGGATAGTGAGGCTCAGGTTAGTTTGTGTAGGAGAGAGGGAGATTCTTATTCTTTCAACAAACCGGCCGTATCCTGACCGAAGGAGGATTGCCCAAAACAAAAAACAAAAGTTTCTCTTTTTAACTTCAGTGATGTATACAGAAAAGGGGGTTACTAGCCCCATGCTCCCAGCATGTTAGTCGCCTCTTACGACACGCATGGCTTACAGAGGAAGAATTCTGTTCCACTTCCTATGGAGATTACGTTCCAGTAAAAGTAGGCCTGGCCTACTTTTACTGGGGTGTACAGTGTGTGGACAGGGGTGTGTAATGTCAACATGGTTGTTCAACCCTTTAAGGGTTCAGAGGCCAAATCTCAGAGTGATAGCCAGGGTCCAAGAATTTTCAAAAAATATTTTTGCTATTTTTTTCTTATGAAGTGGTAGAGAATCTTTTTCTTGAGGTAATATAGCAAAAAGTAGGAAATTTGATAGAAAACTGACAAAATTATGCTCTCGCGAATTTTGATGCATCAGCGATATTTACGCATTGGTGATTTTGCCAACTTTGACTCTCATTATAGGCTAATTACATTCCAGTTGACCAAATTATTAGCTATTTTGCTAGTATTACTTCTACTTTATTGATGGAGCACAAGAATTTACCAGTCAACTGTTTCATCTAATAAAGTAAGCAGAAATTGGTAATTTAGCCAATTTAAACACAAAGTTCAAATTATTCCAATTTCAAAACAAGATCCAGAATAAACAATGCAGGCATTCCTGGCACTAAACTAACACTTCCTTTGTTTATTAGTTATGTTTTCAGGCTTTACAAATGAATTCCATTTTGATTTTTTAGTCACAATGAATTTTTATTCACACCAAAATATAGAAGATTTACTTTTAAGCAATGTTGTACATAATAATTGTATAAATAATATTAACACATTTGTGAACGTACATTAGACCAACCAGCTGTTGTTTACTCCTAAACATTGGCAAAAATTGAACATTTCCTCTACTTTAAACTCAGTTTCAAGACATTTTCAGTACTAAAACCAATCAAAATCATCTCTATTTCTGTCATACACATTCCCTTCTATCAAATGAGACCAAGAAATTGCGAATACGACTGTAAAAAACATACGAAAAACCACCTCATAGTCTCTGTTTTAATCCAAAATTACAGTCGCAGTTTTTTTTCTCTCAGTATCCACTGTGTGCTGCAGGATTTGTTTTATGTAGTGCACACTTACCACATAGATGTGTTCTCTCGTATCTAGGCCCAAATTTACCGCTCACAGGTTATCTGAGCGAGCTGAGCTCATGCCGTAGATCTGCAGATTGGACCTTGGCTTCAAAGCCATAGATCTACGGGACAGACCCTGAAAAGGTTAACATATTTATAGACGGAGTTGTAAAAGAAATACGTAAATGCTAGGGTGTTGGGGATATTCTAAAGAGAAGTTGCAAAGATTAGTGGATGAGTTTGGGAGGGTGTGTAAAGAAATAAAGTTGAAACTGAACACAGATAAGTTTTATAAAGTATATGAATTATATCATTTGCTTCAACATTAGATGCATTTAACTTTTTTTTTCTCATCTACTTTCAGACTATCTTTCTATCACTCTGGTAGCAACAAACCTTTTCGTGAATCTCTCTTCCTACTTACATAGCTCTAGATTACTGGAATACCCGAAAAAATAGGGTAGTGTGAACTACAGCCAGCACAAGAGAGAAAATTAATTAAAAGAAAAATTAAATGAAGTCAAAAGACCGAAAGAATAGCCTTACTTCCAATTACTTTTAATTGCACATTAACACTCTTAGCACTCTTCATTAGCAGGAGAGAGAAGTTAGGTTAAAAAAAATTAACTTACGCCTTGATCACATTATCATCAACTGTAGAATAATTTCACAAACATACCTGGTCAGGCCAAGTGAAGGCAAAATAATGACCATAAAAAGAAGGAAAACGAAAGTCTTTCTCATGATAGAGTGGTTTTCTGAAGAGCGTGTCCAGTGAGACATGAACTGATCTGAATAAGACACAATAACAGGCATAAGTGCAGCCATGGTCCAAAGTAGCAGAGTTGGCAGGAATTCCGACAAAACCGGACTCTGTGGAGGCAGAAAAAGTCATTCAATAAAAGCATAACTTTATTTCTGTAACTACAAATTGGTTAATGCAAGCTGCAATCTATTTATGTATATACATAATAAAATATTTACATATAAATTTTAAAGCAGTAATTTTAATTCAGTTAATAGTTAGCAATCAATATAACAGTAAATTTTAACGAGAAACGTTTATTACTTTTAAACATGCCTAAAATACAGCATTATTATAAGTTATGCAAAAATTACAGCTATATAAACTTCAAAAAATGTATAGTGAACCCTCTCATTAATGGACTAAAAGAGGGGAGTTTGTGTACAGTAATGCTGATTGTTTGAAACTTCCAAATTATGAATTGAATTTTCATGATCTTCCAGTTGTCTTCTGAATTTGGTCCACTAATGTAGAAAGGATCCAGACACTAAGAATACAGGTATTTTAACCTGTACTACAGCACAGTACTGTACTGTATGTAATTTACAGTAGTTTTGCTTTCCTTTTTGTGGGTGAGATGAAGTTCAAACTGCCATGATTGACAGTGGTGACTCAGAATGGGTTTTATTTTCAGTCAAAGGAACTGTAGGGCTCTACTAGTGAAATTAATGTACAAGGCTAAGAAAACATGACACTGAGATGCCAGACTCAACTTTTTATTAGTTCAGTTTCTGCTTAACACTGAGAACCACACATTTCCTCCTGGCACCACTTGCTTTAGAAGCACTTTACTTAATATGTTAACAGTCACACAAAGCACTAAATCCAGAGGAAATTAGAGACTGGATAATGAGTGTTTGTGTGACTGAGCACAAACATTAAGCCAATGTAGGCAGTCTAAGGCTCAGGGAACAATGAAAACAGACAGGTTCTGGGTGTGACCACCCTGGCCTCCATGTACTGGACAAATGTTGAAGTCATTAGACCTGGTCCGCTGTTTCAAACGACAGCTGGACTATCACATTATTGTTGTAGACAAAATCATGTGTTATGGACTTTATCATACTTTGCCTGATGATTTCAATGGCTGTCCAGCCATTTCTCCTTTTCCAAAATTGCCAAAATATGCTAATGAGAGGTTTTACTGTACTTCTGTACTGTATTTTTCCTTAAGTACTACAGTGTATTATTACTATTGTTATTACTGTATTTTTTTAACACACCAGCTATCTCCCACTGAGGTATTATTATAACAATAAATTACTAATCCAAGGTACAGTGGAACCTCAGTTTTTGTGATTAATCCGTTTGAAAAAGTCTGACAATAACCGAATCGTACGAAAATTGAAGCAATACGTATTTCCCATAAGAAATAATGTAAATCCAATTAATCCATTCCAGACACCCAAAAATATTAACAAAAAATGCATTTTGTAGAGAATACATACAAAAAACAATGAGAAATAAACATAAATGACATGAAATGGATAAATGAACATTTAACATCACTTTTACCTTTACTGAAGACTTGGCATATGGAAGACAGCGAGGAGGGGAGAGGGAGGAGGAGAGGTTATTGTTTGGAAGGGGAATCCCCATCATAAGGAATTCAGGTTTCAAGGCCCTACCCAGGGTTACTTCCCTTCTTTGTCTTTTACTGGCACTTGGACCACCTTGAGAGTCACTGGACCCCTGTTGCACAAAAAAAATCTGTCCAGGGGACAATGCATTGTCATTGAACATGTTGCAGACAAGGCTTGCAACAGCTTTGTTAGGGTGATATTTCTCCACAAAACTTTGCAACACATTCCACTTTGTACACGTCCTTAATCACTGAAGAAGGCACATTCTCCCTTCCCCCTTCCTCCTCTTCTGAAGCAATTTCCTCAGCTGCAGACTGAGTCACAAACGCATGGGATGCTCTGTGTGGGTGCTTGATTCCGGGAAATGAGTGGCTGAGTCACGCGAGCAGGCGGACGAGTTTGGTACAAACCTTTTTCAACTGTACGAAAACCAAGCAGATGTACAAAAACTGGGAAAAAATTTTGACGAAAGTCATCGAAAACCGAATTGTACGAAAACTAGGGCATACAAAAACCGGGGTTTGACTGTAGAAAGGTTTGGGGGGGCTTTTGGGGAAAGGAAACCAAAAAACCCAAAGGGGGGGGGGATTCCATTTTTTTGCCAAAAAGGGAATGGTTAAAACCCCTGAAACTTTAATTTGGTTTTATTTTTGAATGGTTTTTAGGTTTTTCCCAAAATTTTTTTTTTTTAAACCCAGGCCCAAATTCCCCCAAGGCGGGTTGGCCCAAAAAGCCCCAATATTACCCCCGGGGGTTTCCAAAAGGGGTCAATCTTTTTTAAATCAAATTTAAACCCCCCTTAATTAAAGGTTAAATTTCCCCCCAAAAGGAAAATTTTTTTTTTTTTTATTTCCACCTTCCAAACCCAAGGGGGGTCCAAAAAAAAAACCCTTTTCACCATTTCACTCCATAAAACCTTCAGAATTTTTTCCTAATTTTTAACCCCTGCAACAAAACCCCCCCTTTAAAAAACCAAAAAAAAGAAAAAAAAAAAAAACAAAAAAAAAAAAAAAGGAAAAAAATTTTGGGGTTTTTTTTTTCAAAAAAACTTTTAAAAAAAAAAAAAAGCAAAAAAAAAATTTTCCAAAAAACCCTAAAAAAAAAAAAAAAAAAAACCAAAAAAAACCCTAAAAAAAACCCAAACCCCCTCCCCCCAAAACCCTTCCCTTTTGGGCCCCCTTTCCCCGCCTTCCTTCCACTAAAAACTGATACACTCTTGAAGTTATTCTGTTTCGCCCCATTCTCTCTACATGCCCCGAACCCCCTCAAAAACCCCTTCCTCACCCCTCTGGACAACTTTTTTGGTAATCCCCCCACCCCCCTCCCTAATTTCCCAAAACTAGGGAAATTCTCTGCATTTATTCACACCAACTTTGGGCCCCAACTTGACATCTCCACTGCCCCCCATCCTTCTCCTCGCTGCAACATTCATCCCCCAAAGCTTCAAACCCAAATAAAGGGTTGGGTAAAACTTTTCTCTAATACTTTCCCCCCTCTTTGCCCCAAAGGACAAAGTTCCCCTGTCTCCACAAAATCCAAGTGCCCCACTCACTTTTTTTTCCCTCACAATTCTATGTTCACCTCTTTTTTTTCAAAAGACCCACCGCTGACACTTTCCCTTTCCCAAATATCTGAATACGTTCCCCCTCCTCCATACTTCTTCCCCCCAATTGATATTCAATTTTTCCCCCTTAATTTTTTTTGTTATCCTCATAACCTTACTCTTTTCCCCTTTTTTCACCTTTTTTAAAATTTTTTTCTTTTGCACACCCCACCAAATTCCCCTCCACCAATCCTGCAGCTTCTCTTCGAATCTCCCAAAAGCACGTGCATCAGGGAAAAAGCGCTGTGACAATTCCACCCTTGTGTGATTCCCTTTTTCTTTTAAAATCCCCCGCCTCTTGCCAAAAACCCCCCGCCCTTTTCTTCTCACAACCCCCTCTAAAATTTTATTAAAAAACCCTGGGGACTACACATCCTTTTCTAAGGGCCCACTTTTACTGGGAAAAAAAATTTTTTCTTTTCTACAACTCAACTTGAAACCCAAATATCCCGTAAAAAATCTTTTCCCGCTTTCCCGAACCCACCTCCAAAACCATTTCAATTGCAACATCTGCCACATTCCCCCCTATCCCCCCCTGTCATAAGGGCCCTTTTTCCCAAAACCATAAATGGCCCCAAAGACCTCTTTTTTCCTTTTCTAAATACTGTTCCCTTATATGTTTCACGTAAACACCTGGGGCCCCACACCCCCAAACCCTTTTCCCAAAACCTCCCTTTTTCTTCCCGCTATCCATTCTCCGGGATTTCTCTTAAATTTTTTCCCCAAATTTTAATCTACCATTTCACTTTACCAGGGGACACTCAACCGACTTATCCCCCTATAATTTTTGCACTCCCTTTTATCCCTTTTTCCTTTTTTAAAAAGGGGAAAATATTTCATGCCTCTGCCAATCCCGGTACCTTTCCCTCTTTTCCTTTCATTTATTAAAAAATTTTCACCAACCACCCAAAACTATTTCCCCACCTGTTTTAACCCTTTCTATCTTTATCCCATCCCCAAACCCGGCTTCCTTTTCCCCCCTTTTATTTTACCTCTGCCTCCGAAACTTCCCCCCCCACTCACAACTGGGGCCCTTCCCCACTCCTACCAAAAAAATGTTTTTCCCCCCTTGCCCTTCACGAAAACAGCTTCCCTAACTTCACAACATTTTTAAAAACCCCAATTTTTTCAAAATAATTTCCCCCCCCTCTTCCCAAAACCTCTAACCCCTCCATTTAATAACCCTCCCCCTAAATTTTTTAATGACAAATCCATTTTTTCTCTAGGGTTCCTTAACTTGTTAATCTCACTCCAAAAATTTTTTCTTATTTTCAACAAAATTTTTTTGATAACAGCTCACCCCCCTCTCTCATTTGCTCTCTTTTTACAAATTTCTTTACCCCTCCTTAACCTCTCTTTTTTCTCCCTATACTCTTCCCTCCCTTTCTTTACTTCTAAAATTTTTAAAAACTTTTTCATTGCTAAAATTTTTCCCCCTTACTACTCTCTTTACACTCATTCCCCAAACGGTCCTCTTCCCTCCTGCACCCCCTTTTCTGTAACCACAAACTTCCCGTGAAAAAACTCTAACACTACATTTTTAAAAAAACCCCATTTTCCCCTTCGACCCCCTTGGGCCCATGCCTCATTTGCCCATTTATCCTCCAAAAGTGTTTAAAAATTACCTAATTTCCCCCTCTTTTAGTTTATAAACCTTCACCTCTCTCTTCCCCCATTTTCTTCTTATTCTCCCTTTTATCCCACTACCTTTTTCCCCTCAGTGTAGCTAAACTAGAAAGTGATCTGATATATCTGGGGGCCCCCCGATAAAAAAGTACATCCTAAGTCTACTCAACAGTCTTTTATCTACTAATACATAATCCAACAAACTACTGTCATTTCGCCCTACATCAATTCGTGTATACTTATTTTATCCTTTTTTTCTAAAATATGTATTACCTATAACAAACCCCTTTCTATAAAAAATTTTCAATCAAAGGGCTCCCATTATCTTTACACCTGGCACCCCAAACTTACCTACCACACCCTCTCTAAAAGTTTCTCCTACTTTAGCATTCAGGTCCCCTACCACAATTACTCTCTCACTTGGTTCAAAGGCTCCTATACATTCACTTAACAAAAGAAAAAATGGAAATAAAATTTAAAAACCGTGAAAGACCCCCAAAAGATTAAAAAAAAAATTTTTTTTACCACATGAAATATTAATTTTAAAAACACACAAACTGAAGATTACATGCACAGTTACATGACACTTACCTTTATTGAAGATCTGGTGATGATTGATGGGATGGGAGGAGGGGAGAGGTGTTAGTGTTTAGAAGGGGAATCCCCTTCCATTAGCACTTGAGGCAGCAAGTCTTTTTCTAGGGTTACTTCCCTTGTTCTTTTAATGCCACTAGGACCAGCTTCAGAGTCACTGGACTTCTGTCGCACAAACATATCTGTCCATAGAGGCCTGTACCTCTCGTTCCTTTATGACTTTCCTAAAGTGGTTCACAACAGTGTCAGTGTAATAGTCACCAGCACGGCTTGCAGTAGCTGTGTCAGGGTGATTTTCATCAAAAAAGGTTTGCACTTCAAGCCACTTTGAACACATTTCCTTTATCTTAGAAGTAGGCAACTTCTTCAATTTCTCTCCCCCCTCCTCTAAAGCAGTTTCCTCAGTGTGCCCTCTTGCTGTTGAAGATGACTAGCAGCTCATCGTGGTTAGTTCTTCACTTGTCCTCCACCACCAACTTTTCCACATCCTCCCCACAAACCTCCAACCCAAGGACTTCCCCAATGCCACAATGGTTTTCCTCAACTGGCATAGGATTCTCGGGTTAGCCTCAAACCCTTAAAAATCCCTTTTGTCTACACATTCTGGCCACAGTTTTTTCCAAGCAGAGTTCAATGTCCTCTTAGTCACTTCCTCCCAAGCCTTACCTATAATGTTTCCCAAAATTTGAGGATGGTAAAATGATTTTTCCCAAAACTCTCTTAGAGTCAGTTGAGTTTCTGGGGTCACTACAAAGCCCCTTTCAAACATAGCTTTTGTGTACAATTTCTTGAAGTTGGAAATAACCTGCTGGTTTCCCTGGCTGCAGGAGAGGAGTGGGGATTAGGAGGCAAAAACTTCACCTTAATGAAAACTCATGTCCCTAAAAGTCGCTCTGGGCCAAGTCTGAAGGGGTGACCAGGAGCATTGTCTAATACCAGGAGGCACTTAAGGTCTAATTTCTTTTCAATTAGGTAATTTTTCACATTGAGGGCAAATGCATGATGTAACCAGTCATAGAAAAAGTCCCTAGTGACCCATGCCTTACTGTTTGCCCTCCACAGCCCACACAAATTAGCCTTGAGGACGTTTTTCCTGAACACTGGGAGTTTCAGAGTGATACACCAATAAAGGCTTCACTTTGCAATCACCACTAGCATTGGCACACATCGACAGAGTAAGCCTGTCTTTCATAGGCTTATGTCCTGGGAGTGCCTTTTCCTCCTGAGTAATGTACGTCCTGCTTGGCATTTTCTTCGAAAACAGGCCTGTTTCGTCACAATTAAACACTTGTTCAGGTTTCAGTCCTTCACTATGTACTCCTTGAAGTCCTGCACATATTTTTCAGCCAATTTGTGGTCCGAACTGGCAGCCTCACCAAGCCATATCACACTATGAATGCCACTACGCTTCTTAAATCTCTCAAACCAATCTTCACTGGCCTTAAATTGACTCACATCACTAGTTGCTGGCATTTTTCTAATTAAATCGTCATGCAACTTCCTAGCCTTTTCACATATGATCGCTTGAGAGATGCTGTCTCCTGCTATCTGTTTCTCATTTATCCACACCAATAAAAGTCTCTCAACATCTTCTATCACTTGCGATCTCAGTTTCGAAAACATAGTTGCACCTTTGGCAAGAACAGCTTCCTTGATTGCCGTTTTCTTGCCCACAATAGTAGCGATGGTTGATTGGGGTTTATTATACAACCTGACCAGCTCAGAGATATGCACTCCACTTTCATATTTATCAATGATCTCTTTCTTCATTTTTTTTTTTTTTCAATAAGTCGGTCGTCTCCCACCGAGGCAGGGTGACCCAAAAAAAAAAAAGAAAATCCCCAAAAAGAAAATACTTTCATCATCATTCAACACTTTCACCACCTCACACATTAAAAACTGCTTTTGCAGAGGTGCTCAGAATACAACAGCTTAGAAGCATATACGTATAAAGATACACAACATATCCCTCCAAACTGCCAATATCCCAAAAACCCCCCCTTTAAAGTGCAGGCATTGTACTTCCCCTTTCAGGACTCAAGTCTGACTATATGAAAATAACCGGTTTCCCTGAATCCCTTCACTAAATATTACCCTGCTCACACTCCAACAGATGTCAGGTCCCCAAATATCATTCGTCTCCATTCACTCCTATCTAACACGCTCATGCACCTTGCTGGAAGTCCAAGCCCCTCGCCTACAAAACCTCCTTTACCCCCTCTTTCCAACCCTTTCGAGGACGAACCCCTACCCCTCTTTCCTTCCCCTATAGATTTATATGCTTTCCATGTCATTCTACTTTGATCCATTCTCTCTAAATGACCAAACCACCTCAACAACCCCTCTTCTGCCCTCTGACTAATGTTTTTATTAACTCCACACCTTCTCCTAATTTCCACACTCCGAATTTTCTGCATAATATTTACACCACACATTGCCCTTAGACAGGACATCTCCACTGCCTCCAACCGTCTCCTCACTGCTGCATTTACCACCCAAGCTTCACATCCATATAAGAGTGTTGGTACTACTATACTTTCATACATTCCCTTCTTTGCCTCCATAGATAACGTTTTTTGACTCCACATATACCTCAACGCACCACTCACCTTTTTTCCCTCATCAATTCTATGATTAACCTCATCCTTCATAAATCCATCCGCCGACACTTCAACTCCCAAGTATCTGTAAACATTCACTTCTTCCATACTCCTCCTCCCCAATTTGATATCCAATTTTTCTTTATCTAAATCATTTGATACCCTCATCACCTTACTCTTTTCTATGTTCACTTTCAACTTTCTACCTTTACACACATTCTCAAACTCATCCACTAACCTTTGCAATTTTTCTTTAGAATCTCCCATAAGCACAGTATCATCAGCAAAAAGTAACTGTGTCAATTCCCATTCTGAATTTGATTCCCCATAATTTAATCCCACCTCTCTCCCAAACACCCTAGCATTTACTTCTTTTACAACCCCATCTATAAATATATTAAACAATCATGGTGACATTACACATCCCTGTCTAAGACCTACTTTTACCGGGAAGTATTCTCCCTCTCTTCTACATACCCTAACCTGAGCCTCACTATCCTCATAAAAGCTCTTTACAGCATTTAGTAACTTACCACCTATTCCATATACTTGCAACATCTGCCACATTGCTCCTCTATCCACTCTATCATATGCCTTTTCTAAATCCATAAATGCAATAAAAACTTCCCTACCTTTACCTAAATACTGTTCACATATATGCTTCAATGTAAACACTTGATCTACACATCCCCTACCCACTCTGAAGCCTCCTTGCTCATCCGCAATTCTACATTCTGTCTTTCTTCATCTCCATAGTAATTCTCACCCTATTTGCTGTAGGGTTGGCACTAGAAGCTTTCTTGGGGCCCATGGTGACTTATTTTGCAGGTGCAATCACTAAAAAGGCTGTGATAATGTGAAATGTTCCAGTTGTATGTTTGGAAGCAACCGCGGTGGCTGGCTGGCTTGTAAACACTGGCACCAAAGGGACAAGTGAGGCGCGCTCAGGCCAAAGTGGACGCGTATGGTACGGAACGAATAGCGCTGGTCGGGTTTTTAAGCGCTAGTCGAGGCAAAATTTTTGCGTTAAAATGTATCGCTAGTCAGATTTATTGTTAATCGATGCCATCGTTGGTCGACGGTCCACTGTATCTTGCTACTTCTACTTACACTTAGATCACACTACACATGCATGTACACACACACATATACATGCCCACCTGGTTTTTCTTCTATTTTTTAATAGTTCTTCTCTTCTTTATTTCCTCTTATCTCCAAGGGGAAGTGGAAAAGAATTCTTCCTCCGTAACCTACGAGTGTCATAAGTGGCAACTAACATACCGGGTGCAAGGGGCTAGTAAACCCTTCTCTTGTATACATTACTAAATTTAAAAAAGAAAAACTTTTTTCTTTTTTTGGGGGTCACCCTGCCTCTGTGGGATATGGCTGGTTTGTTGAAAGAAGAAGAATTTTACTAATGCCAATCTTTTATGAAACAAACTCCATGGCACGTAAGATATGTAGTCACAAGGTTCTCGGTTTTAATAGCCACAGTAAAACCAGTTATGCTAAAGAATTAATTGACAAAGCATTCTTACAATATCTTACCATGCTGTGGATTTTCTCTGAGAGAAGAATAATATCCAGACCATTGATGATAACAGCAGGTGTTGTAAGAAAAAAGAGCACCACAAACAGCATGATATTAAGAATAATTGCTTTCAGCCACCAATGGCGATTTGTCACTGAAAGGTTTGCCCTGGAAAAAATAAATGAACATTCAGTGAAGATCTAGTGCATTAAATCACCTTCAACATATAATGGTTACATTACAATGATAATTCTGCTGAGATTATTAATTCTAACTGTTTAACCTTTAAACTGTCCACAGGTAGATCCACGTTCACGTGTGGCGGGCTCCGAACGTAGATCAACGTTTTATTTTTCATTCCTTCAAATTTGGCACAATGGGTCTGATTCGCCAAGACGTGAAAGAACGGCTCTGTGCACTAAGTGTGCACACTACGAAAAAATCAGGAACCACTTGATACCTTGTGGGAGCACCAGTTCAGTTGAGCGCAAGCTAGAGCAAATAACGCGGCAACCACCAGTGATTCATTGATGTCATGTCATATTAACGCTCACATTTTAAGAGGAAAGTAAAAATAGGTTAGATAAATGCATGAGTGTGTGTGGGTGGGTGAGAGTTGGACCTGACTAGCTTGTGCTCCTTCTTTCAGTGGATGTGACCTGACTAGGTGGGTCATTGGTCTAAGCTGGGGGGGTGACATGGACCTGCCTTGCATAAACCGGTAGGCCTGCTGCAGTGTTCCTTCTTTCTTACGTTCTTATGTATTCGGCTGGCTGGCTGGCTGGCTTTGGCTGTCTCTGTCTGTATCTGTCTATATCTATATCTCTATCTACCACTGTGTATCTGTATCTGTCTATATCTCTGTCTCTCACATGTACTCATAAATACAGTTATTATACATAATGTAAATTACCTAGGATAACCCAAAAATTCCAGGCCAAGTGCTATACAGTGTTTGTAGATTTTTTTTTTTTTAACAAGTCAGACATATCCCACCAAGGCAGGGTGACCCAAAAAGAAAGAAAATCCCCAAAAAGAAAATACTTTCATCATCATTCAACACTTTCACCTCACTCACACATAATCACTGTTTTTGCAGAGGTGCTCAGAACACAACAGTATAGAAGCATATACGTATAAAGATACACAACATCTCTCACCAAACTGCTAATATCCCAAACCCTCTCCTTCAGAGTGCAGGCATTGTACTTCCCATTTCCAGGACTCAAGTCCGGCAATATAAAAATAACCAGTTTCCCTGAATCCCTTCACTAAATATTACCCTGCTCACACTCCAACAGATTGTCATTTCCAAAATACCATTCGTTTCCATTCACTCCTATCTAACACGTTCATGCACGCCTGCTGGAAGTCCAAGCCCCTCGCCCACAAAACCTCCCTTACCCCTTCCTTCCAACCTTTTCGAGGATGACCCCTACCCCGCCTTCCTTCTCTGACAGATTTATACGCACTCCATGTCATTCTACTTTGATCCATTCTCACTAAATGACCAAACCACCTCAACAACCCCTCTTCAGCCCTCTGACTAATACTTTTATTAACTCCACACCTTCTCCTAATTTCCACACTCCGAATTTCTGCATAATATTTACACCACACATTGCCCTTAGACAGGACATCTCCACTGCCTCCAACCTCCTCCTCGCTGCTGCATTCACAACCCAAGCTTCACACCCATATAAGAGTATTGGTACTACTATACTTTCATACATTCCCTTCTTTGCCTCCATAGATAACGTTTTTTGTCTCCACATATACCTCAATGCACCACTCACCTTTTTTCCCTCATCAATTCTATGATTAACCTCATCCTTCACAAATCCATCCGCTGACACGTCAACTCCCAAGTACATGTATCGGAAAACATTCACTTCTTCCATACTCCTCCCCAATTTGATATCCAATTTTTCTTTATCTAAATCATTTGATACCCTCATCACCTTACTCTTTTCTATGTTCACTTTCAACTTTCTACCTTTACACACACTCCCAAACTCATCCACTAACCTTTGCAATTTTTCTTTAGAATCTCCCATAAGCACAGTATCATCAGCAAAAAGCAACTGTCTCAATTCCCATTTTGTATTTGTTTCCCCATAATTTAATCCCACCCCTCTCCCAAACACCCTAGCATTTACTTCTTTTACAACCCCATCTATAAATATATTAAACAACCATGGTGACATTACACATCCCTGTCTAAGACCTACTTTTACCAGGAAGTAGTCTCCCTCTCTTCTACACACCCTAGCCTGAGCCTCACTATCCTCATAAAAACTCTTTACAGCATTTAGTAACTTACCACCTATTCCATATACTTGCAACATCTGCAACATTGCTCCTCTATCCACTCTATCACATGCCTTTTCTAAATCCATAAATGCAATAAAAACTTCCCTACCTTTATCTAAAATACTGTTCACATATATGCTTCAATGTAAACACTTGATCTACACATCCCCTACCCACTCTGAAACCTCCTTGCTCATCTGCAATCCTACATGCATCCAGAGCGAACTTTGTGTTCTTATATCTCGGTAAGTACTGGTCCTAAAAAAAATTTTTTTTGGTCTTATATCACAGAAAAATTGCCCTCTTTAATTTAAAAACAAAAAACAATTTTTTTTATATTTCAAAATATTTGGAGTGCCACGCAAGTGAACATAGATCTATGTTTGGACAGTTTAAGGGTTAAAAATGGAAATACTTCACTTAATTATAAAAAGTCACTTAAAAATTATAGACAACCACTAAACAAAGCGCTTCTCTTTCACTCTCACCCTAAATCATAAGAGGCTGGATACCAAGAGTGTAAAACTGTAGTTTTTAGAAAAGGGAAAGGATGGATTATGTCAGAAAGAAATGAGTGGTGCAACCATGCTTGTCTATTCAGAGTCTTAATGTTGGGAGGGTTCCGTGGAGATGTGATGGTCGGAGATAAACACACTTGTTGGGTTGTATTCACTTATATTAGCAGAGTTGTGAGGGGAGTATAGCCCAGCCTACCTGTCTCGCCTATGCCTATACTGGAACTAAGAGAGGGGCAGAGTGTCTGACGCTGACATGTGACATCACGTGACGTCACATGCTAGCCCCTAGGCCTAGCAAGGGATCGTCTATATAAAATATGTAGATGGTACTAACTATGATACTCAGACAGGCTACACAACATTAAGCCCACAATATGTATGTTGCTGTACTTGAGAAAAACACACAAGCGACAACTGGAAACTTGATTTAAGATAACACTGCTTGCAAATCAAACTTTTTCAGGTCTGATCAAAATGTTGCTCGTATGTTTCTATCAACCACAATTTGTTGGTACAGTATAAAGTTGTAACAATCCATTTCTCTCAATCCAAACCCCATCCACTAACCCTGATTCAACCAAACAAAAATTGAAATTCCAAACCTCCTACCAAGTATAATTGGCAGGTCTAAAAAAAAAAAAACAAAAAAAAAAAAAGTTAAATACAGCAATCTGGACATAACAGCAATTACAGAAACTAAAATATCTATAACAGTAGATGAAGTACTATCAGGAGGTATCAATTAATATGAAGTTACTGGCCAGTGAGAAGTTCATCATCTTAACCACAGACATCATGTCATTGCTGTAAAAACACTCAAATGGGTGACTGTTGAAGGCACCTTGAACAGTTGAATTATGAATGATTTTTTCTGGATGAGCACAATAGATGCTCATTTCCTGTTCATGCACAAACTTTTTTATGCCTTTTATCTTATATTTATAGTTTTTCTAATGTGTTATAATTATTTTTTTATGGATTGAAAATCTAACCTATTTTAGAAATGAGCTACAAAACCACACGTGAAGAATTTACAGTGGAACCTCAAATTTCGAACTTAATCCGTTCCAGGAGCTAGTTCTAAATTCGAAAATTTTGAAAAGCGAAGCAATATTTCCCATAAGAAATAATGGAAATACAATTAATCCGATCCAGAAACCCAAAAACATTCACAAAAAAAATATATTTTATAGAGATTAATTATAGTTTTACATACACACAACAAATATTGTGTACAATTATGTATTAATATATTTAAATAAACATATAAAATAACATTTTTACTCACCTTTATTGAAGATTGGTGACAGCATCTGGAAGATAGGTTAGTGTTTGGAAGGGGAATCCCCCTCCATAAGGACTTTAGGTATTAAAGCATTCTCTGGGGTTACTTCCCTTCTCTGTCTTTTAATGCCACGAGGACCAGCTTGAGAGTCACTGGACCCCTGTCTCACAAAATAATTATCCACAGTCTTCTGTTTCTGGCGCCTCTTTAAGATTTCCCTATAATGGGACATGGTTTTGTCACTGAACTTGTTGCAAAGATGGCTTGTTTCAGCTTGCTCATGGTGGTACTTCTCCACAAACATTCGGACATCATTTCACTTGGCGCAAATCTCCTTAATCTTCCAAGAAGGTGGACAGGTCCAGTACCCGGCGGTTCAAAAATAGGGGCAAGTTCGATAATAGGGACAAAGTTGGTTCGAAATATGCGGTCGATTTCCGAAGAGTTCGATAAGCGATACATTCGAAATTTGAGGTTCCACTGTACTTAAATGCCTGGAGGAAGGTTGCAATGTGAAGCAAAGAAGGAGTAGCAATCCTAATTAAGGAAAGAAATGAGATGTGAAAATCAGAATACACCAATCTGTCCTGAGTTGACAGAAACACAGTTTAATAATATTCTGTGAAATGCACTGTGATAAAATGAAAATAAATGCTGAGCTATACACGACAGCAGTCAGCCATTCACCAAGCCCTGATAGTCAGCCATTCATTCAGTTCTGACAGATGGCCTTCCACAAGTTTAAGATTTACCAGTATGTATCAATCATCTAGTAACAATTACTCTAATATTTTAACTTTATTTTTTTTTTTTTATTATCACACTGGCCGATTCCCACCAAGGCAGGGTGGCCCGAAAAAGAAAAACTTTCACCATCATTCACTCCATCACTGTCTTGCCAGAAGGGTGATTTACACTACAGTCTTTAAACTGCAACATTAACACCCCTCCTTCAGAGTGCAGGCACTGTACTTCCCATCTCCAGGACTCAAGTCCGGCCTGCCGGTTTCCCTGAACCCCTTCATAAATGTTACTTTGCTCACACTCCAACAGCACGTCAAGTATTAAAAACCATTTGTCTCCATTCACTCCTATCAAACACGCTCACGCATGCCTGCTGGAAGTCCAAGCCCCTCGCACACAAAACCTCCTTTACCCCCTCTCTCCAACCTTTCCTAGGCCGACCCCTACCCCGCCTTCCTTCCACTACAGACTGATACACTCTTGAAGTCATTCTGTTTCGCTCCCTTCTCTCTACATGTCCGAACCACCTCAACAACCCTTCCTCAGCCCTCTGGACAACAGTTTTGGTAATCCCGCACCTCCTCCTAACTTCCAAACTACGAATTCTCTGCATTACATTCACACCACACATTGCCCTCAGACATGACATCTCCACTGCCTCCAGCCTTCTCCTCGCTGCAACATTCATCACCCATGCTTCACACCCATATAAGAGCGTTGGTAAAACTATACTCTCATACATTCCCCTCTTTGCCTCCAAGGACAAAGTTCTTTGTCTCCACAGACTCCTAAGTGCACCACTCACTCTTTTCCCCTCATCAATTCTATGATTCACCTCATCTTTCATAGACCCATCCGCTGACACGTCCACTCCCAAATATCTGAATACATTCACCTCCTCCATACTCTCTCCCTCCAATCTGATATTCAATCTTTCATCACCTAATCTTTTTGCTATCCTCATAACCTTACTCTTTCCTGTATTCACCTTCAATTTTCTTCTTTTGCACACCCTACCAAATTCATCCACCAATCTCTGCAACTTCTCTTCAGAATCTCCCAAGAGCACAGTGTCATCAGCAAAGAGCAGCTGTGACAACTCCCACTTTGCGTGTGATTCTTTATCTTTTAACTCCACGCCTCTTGCCAAGACCCTCGCATTTACTTAAATATATTAAATATATTAAACAACCACGGTGACATCACACATCCTTGTCTAAGGCCTACTTTTACTGGGAAATAATTTCCCTCTTTCCTACATACTCTAACTTGAGCCTCACTATCCTCGTAAAAACTCTTCACTGCTTTCAGTAACCTACCTCCTACACCATACACTTGCAACATCTGCCACATTGCCCCCCTATCCGCCCTGTCATACGCCTTTTCCAAATCCATAAATGCCACAAAGACCTCTTTAGCCTTATCTAAATACTGTTCACTTATATGTTTCACTGTAAACACCTGGTCCACACACCCCCTACCTTTCCTAAAGCCTCCTTGTTCATCTGCTATCCTATTCTCCGTCTTACTCTTAATTCTTTCAATAATAACTCTACCATACACTTTACCAGGTATACTCAGCAGACTTATCCCCCTATAATTTTTGCACTCTCTTTTATCCCCTTTGCCTTTATACAAAGGAACTATGCATGCTCTCTGCCAATCCCTAGGTACCTTACCCTCTTCCATACATTTATTAAATAATTGCACCAACCACTCCAAAACTATATCCCCACCTGCTTTTAACATTTCTATCTTTATCCCATCAATCCCGGCTGCCTTACCCCCTTTCATTTTACCTACTGCCTCACGAAATTCCCCCACACTCACAACTGGCTCTTCCTCACTCCTACAAGATGTTATTCCTCCTTGTCCTATACACGAAATCACAGCTTCCCTATCTTCATCAACATTTAACAATTCCTCAAAATATTCCCTCCATCTTCCCAATACCTCTAACTCTCCATTTAATAACTCTCCTCTCCTATTTTTAACTGACAAATCCATTTGTTCTCTAGGCTTTCTTAACTTGTTAATCTCACTCCAAAACTTTTTCTTATTTTCAACAAAATTTGTTGATAACATCTCACCCACTCTCTCATTTGCTCTCTTTTTTACATTGCTTCACCACTCTCTTAACCTCTCTCTTTTTCTCCATATATATTCATATATATTCTAGTTTTTATTGTCATATTCGGTAATTTTTAACTTCTCTACATCCTAGCACTATCTACACTACCATGCAGGTTGACCTAAAAAGAAAGAAAAAACTTTCATCATTCAATACATCACCATCACTCAAACATAATCACTGTCTTTACAGAGGTGCTCGGAAATGACAATTTAGATGTCCCTCCAAACCGCCAATATCCAAAACCCCTCCTATAAAGTGCAGGCACTGTGCTTCCCATTACTAGGACTCAAGTTTGGCTAACCAGTTTCCCTGAATCCCTTCACAAAATATTACCCTGCTCACGCTCTGACAGTTCATCAGGTCCCAAAAACCATTCGTCTCCATTCACTCCTATCTAACATGCTCACACACACTTGCTGGAAGTTCAAGCCCCTCACCCACAAAACCTTGTTTACTCCCTTCCCTCCAAACTTTTCGAGGACAACCCCTATCCTACCTTCCTGCCCCTACAAATTTATATGCTCTCCAAGCCATTCTACTTTGTTCCATGCTTTCTAAATGACGAAACCACGTGAAAACTCCTTCTTCAGCCCTCTGACTAATACTTTTAATTACTTCACACTACCACCTAATTTCCACACTATGAAGTCTCTGCATAATATTTACATCACACATTGCCCTTAGACATGACATCTCCACTGCCTCTAGCCTACTCCTAGCTGCAGCATTTACAACCCATGCTTCACACCCATATAAAAGTGTTGGTACCACTATAATCTCGCTCATTCCCTTCTTTGCTTCCATGGATAGTTTTTTCTGTCTCCACAGATACCTCAATGCACTACTCATGTTTTCTCCATAAATTCTATGGTTAACCTCATCCTTCATAAATCCATCCGCTGAAAAGTCAACTCCCAAATATCTGAACACATTCACTTCTTCCTTACTCCCTCCCTCCAATGTGATATCCAATTTTTCTTTATCTAAATCACTTGATACCCTCACCACCTTACTTATCTATTCTCACTTTCAACTTTCTTCATTTACACACCCTCCCAAACTTGTTCACCTTTGCAACTTTTCTTTAGAACCTCCCAAAAGCACAATATCATCGGTTAAAAGTAACTGTGTCAACTCCCATTTTGCATATTATTCCCCATAATTTAATCCCACCCCTCTCCCCAACACCCTAGCACTTACTTCTTTCACAACCCCATCTATACATATGTTAACCCTTTCAGGGTTTCCGACATACTAGTACAGCTTACGCACCAGTTATTGACGTACCAAAATGCCTAAATTCTAGAACCTTCAAATCTAGTGAGAGAAAGCTGGTAGGTCTACATATGACAGAATGGGTCTATGTGGTCAGTGTGCACAGTATAAAAAAAAATCCTACAGTACACAGTGCATGAGAAAAAAAAAAACTCCGACCGTGTTTTTGGTTTAAAACACCGACTTTGCACTGTATTTTCGTATGGTATTTATGGGTGTATTCTAGTTTTCCTGATCTCATTTTATAGAATGGAAGACATATTACAGAAATTGAGATGATATTGACTGGTTTCATAATGAAAAGTACCTTGAAATTCAGCTCAAAGTAGCAGAAATGTTCGATTTTTACCAAATTTCAAAAGCAAGCAAATCATGCCAAGCGTCCAATACACGTCAACTGGTGAGTCTAATATTCTTTCACAAGTGCGCTGATATTATTTATAACATTTCTACACCATTTCTACACTAATGCAGTAGTCTGCTAACAGTAAATCTTCTATTTTTTGTGAGAATAAAAATTCAAAGTGGAAAGCAAAAGAGATTTAAGAGGAGCCTGGGGACATGACTAATGAAGAGAGAAAATGTTATTTTAGTGCCAGGAATGTCTGTCTTGCTTATTCTGGACCCTATTTGGAAATTAGCATCTTCTGAAATTCTTGTGAAATTGGCAAAATTGCCAATTTCTGACCACTTTACTGGATATTTGAAATTGGTAAATGGGTGGTTTCTTGTACTCATTTGATAGAAAAAATGGAGTTCTACCGAAATAGATATGATTTTTGTCGACTAGTACACTGAAATTGGCCAAAAACAGGGCTCAAAGTGGGCAAAATCGCCAATGCGTCAACATCGAGACCGTTAACTTTGCAAGAGCACAATTCCCTAAGTTTTCCATCGAATTTCAGACTTTTGGTGTCATTATGATCAAAAAAAGATTCTTTATCATTTCGTAAGAAATTTTTTTTTTCTCAAAAAATTTTCGACCCTGAGAACGAGTTTAGGAGAGGGCCTCTCGACCCTGAAAGGGTTAAACAACCATGGTGACATTACACATCTCTGTCTAAGACCTACTTTTACTGGAAAGTAATCTCCCTCTCTCCTACACACCCTAATCTGAGCCTCATTATCCTCATAAAAACTCTTTACAGCATTTAGTAACTTACTACCTATTCCATACACTTGCAGCATCTGCCACATTGCTCCCCTATCCACTCTATCATATGCTTTTTCTAAATACATAAATGAAATGAAAACTTCCCAGTCTTACCAGTAGATATCTTCAGGGGCTGGTGCAACTCGGATGATCCAGTTATGGGGTTTTAATTCAGCAGAAACTGAAGAAACTGGGGTAACTCTCAAACAATCACACTTGTTCTTGTGATCCCGCATTACTTTCTTTGCATTTTCAATTGTGTCAAAAGTCACATATGCCACTCCCGTAGGTTGCTGCAAAGCCTTAATCTTCTCATTTTCAACATGGTTGGCCAAGCGTGCTTCTTCCTCAGTATAATACTCAATAGCATCCACCTAAGTAATAAAAATCAGGTTAACATTCTAAAGTATACTTTTACATTAAATCATAAATGATAACAAAGAACAAGATGACAGGAGGAGTTGTTGAATGGGGTTAGTGGGAAGGGTAAAGGGAAGGGGAGTAGGGGATGGGGATGAGGTAAAGGGAAGGGAAGTAGGGGATGAGGAAGGGGAAGGTGAGGAGGGATAGGGGAGAGGGGAAGGTGAGGAGGGATAGGGGAGAGGGGAAGGTGAGGAGGGATAGGGGAAGGAGAGGAGGAGGAGGGGGACCAAGAAGAAGAAGGGCAAGGAAGGGGAAAGGGATAGAAAGAAGGGGTAGTTGGTAGTGAAGGAAAAGAGAAGAGGTGGAGAAAGGGTAAGGGAAGGGTAAGAGAAAGGGAAGAGGTAAGGGAAAGGAATGGGGTAGGGGATGGGGAAGGGGAAGGGGAAGGGGAGGAGGAGTAGGAGGAGGGAAAAGAGAATGAGTGTGTTTGAGAGTACTCACTTATTTGCATTCGCCTATTTGTAGATACACGAGTCAAGTCAGCTTCGGGCCCTGCCTTTCAACTTGCCACATGCCAGAGACACACTCTCCTAGCCTTATGGGCTCTATTATACATATTCTTAAAACTATATGTGGAGCTTGCCTCCACCATTTCACTGAGATCATTTCATTTCCTGATCACTCTAGACACTGAAAAAATACTTCATCCTGAGTACCTGTTTCTTGACTCACCAACAGCCTATCCCTGTCTATCTTGCAAATTCTTCCAGACAAATGTTGTCTACCCTGGTTCTTCTGTTTTCTGATGTTGCTAGATTCAATTTTGTTTCTCTCTCCACAAAGCTTATACCCCTTAGCTTTGGAACATGGCTAGTTGCAGACTTCTGCATTTTTTTTTTAACATGCTTTTTCATGTGAAGGTTCCATAATGGAACATACACCTGTTCCATAATGAAACCTGGAGTGAGAAACAGGTTGAAAAAGATTAGGGAACACATGGTTAAAAACAGAAGAGGGGAGTTATTAGATGGAGACATGGAGGTATTGGGAAGATGGTAAGACTATTTTGAGGAGCTGTTAAATGTTGAAGACAGGGAGGCTGTGATTTCATGCATTGGCCAGAGGGGTACAGCATCCTTCAGGAGTGAGGAAGAGCCAGATTGAGTGGGGGAGGAGCATGAGGCAGTGGGTAAAATGAAAGGGAATAAGGCAGCTAGGACTGATAGGATCGTGACAAATGTTAACCCTTTGACTGTCGCAACCCCAAATCCTGAGGTGTCTCCTGGTGTCAAAAAAAAAAAAAAAAAAAAAAAAAAAAAAAAAATCTTATGAAATGATGGAGAATCTTTTCCCGATGGTAATGACACCAAAAGAATGAAATTTGATGGCAAACTTACGGAATTATGCTCTCGCGAAGTTAGCGACCTCAGCAATATTTACGAATCGGTGATTTCGCCCACTTTCAGCCCTATATTCGGCTAATTCCACTGTTCCAGTCGACCAAACTCATAGCTCTTTCTTTATAACTCTATTTGTTCTATCAACTGAGTACAAGAAACTGCCCATTTACCGATTTCAACTACCCAATAACGTGGTCAGAACTTGGCAATTTGGCAAATTTCACGAAAATTAAAAAAATATGACAATTTCAAAATAGGGTCCAGAATGAACAACGCAGACATTCCTGGCTCTAAAATAACATTTTCTTTGTTCATCAGTCACGTCTCCAGGCCCCTCTGATATTACTCTTGCTTTCCATTTTGAATTTTTATTCAAACAAAAAATTGAAGATTTATTGTTATGCAGACTACTGCAATATTGTAATAATTGGATAAATAATGTCAACCCATTCATGACTGCATATAAGAATGGCTAGTTGGACATTTATTGGACAATGACATCATTTGTTTACTTTTGAACATCGGCAAAAATCAAACATTTCGCCTACTTTGAGCTCCATTTGAAGGTTCTTTTCATAGTAAAACCAATCAAAATCACCTCTATTTCTATATTTTTCCATTCTATCAAATGAGACCAAGAAAACGAAAATACAACCATAAATACTATACGAAAATAGACCACAAAGTCGGCGTTTTAATCCAGAAACACGGTCAGTTTTTTTTTTCTCACTATGCACTGCGTGCTGCAGAATTTTTTTTAAACGGTGCACTCTGACCACACAGACCCATTCTCTCACATGTGGGCCTACCAGCTTTCTCCTGCTTGATTTGAAGCTGTTAGAATTTTTGAGTACGTGTATATACGTCAAATACAGTGGCTCGTAAGATGTATATATACAACTGAAACAGTCAAAGGGTTAAAAGCAGGTGGGGATATAGTTTTGGAGTGGTTAGTACTTTTGTTCAATAAATGTATGAAAGAGGGGAAGGTACCTAGGGACTGGCAGAGAGCATGCATAGTTCCTTTGTATAAAGGGAAGGGGGGCAAAAAGAGTGCAAAAGAAAATAGGGGAATAAGCATAGTGAGTATACCAGGGGTGGGAATACATGCAGTTTGGGGGGGCATCTGAACTATATTGTCTGCACACCTCTGGCAAGACAGTGGAGCAAATTATGGTAAAAGTGTTTCTTTGTCGGGTCACCCTGTGGCTCATCTCAGACTAACATCTAATGGAGTCCCCGAGTTCCCTTTCCTCACCTCTGAAACAGCCTATCCCTGTCTACCTTATCAATTTCTTTAAGTACTTTATATGTTGTTACAGCTTCCCTGGTTCTTCTCTCCTCCAATGTTATTATGTCCCATTCCGTCAACCTCTCATCGAAGCTCATGCTCCTTAGACAAGCAACAAACTTTGTTGCAGACTTCTACACTTTTTTCAGTTTCCTAACATGCTTTCTCTAGTGCAGGTTCCATATTGATGCTTCGTACTGCAAGATGGGCCTAACATATGCTATATAAAGGGACAGAATGATGCTTTCTTGAGTTTCTTGAAGTTACACCTACCATCCAACTTACGACCGAGTTTGGTTCCGAGAAATCGGTCGTAAGTCAAAATGGTCGTAAGTCGAACTTTACTACTGAATATCAACAAAACATTTTTGTAATGACTTTATTTTATTGTTTTATTTTGGTATTTCATGTTTTACTTTACTTTTTATGCTGTTAGTACTGTATTTTATACTGTAAGGTTTAGGATAAACACTGCGTACAACACAAATAGTTGTTTATTTCCAAGAAATTTGGCATAAAAAACACGGTCGTAAGTTGAGTGGTCGTAAGTCGAACAGGTCGTAAGTCGGATGGTAGGTGTATTTGGCTGGTGTGAGACACTGGCAATATATTGAGCACTTTGCTCACCCCTAGGTCTTTCACTTTGAATGAAGTCTGAAGCCTCTGTCTCCCTAGTCTATACCCACTTTCTGGTCTTCTAGCTCCTTCCCCAATCTTGATGACCTTGCATGTAATGGGGTGTCCATGTATGTGCAAGCACATGTGCATCCATGGAGTGAAGGGGGACGGAGAAGGTAAGGGTTGGTTATGACTTTGTGATACAAGGCCTGAAGGAAGTACCATACTGCATGCTTCATCTGCACACAAGGCTAATCTTGTGTGTAAACCATTGCTATTTGATGACAACTCTCTCAATTTAAGTGACTATCATCTTTCTTTCATTTCCACTTCTAAACTACCAATATCTTCCTTGATTTCATTTCATGTTTGTAAATCCCCATAATCACAGCCTTCAACTTAGCTAATAAAACAAGACATTAATCCAAACACAGTGGCATTCCCTCTATCTCCATCATCAGCTGTGATCTGATAATGATCCTGGACAGATTAAAACATTATGTAAAGTTTCTTCTCAAATTACTGATTTTTTTTTTAACAAGTCGGCCATCTCCCACCAAGACAGGGTGACCCAAAAAAAAGAAAATCCCCAAAAAGAAAATATTTTCATCATCATTCAACACTTTCACCTTACTCATACATAATCACTGTTTTTGCAGAGGTGCTCAGATACAACAGTTTAGAAGCATGTATAAAGATAAATAACATATCCCTCCAAACTGCCTATATCCCAAACCCCTCCTTTAAAGTGCAGGCATTGTACTTCTCATTTCCCTTCACTAAATATTACCCTGCTCACACTTCCAACAGCTCGTCAGGTCCTGAAAACTATTCATCTCCATTCACTCCTATCTAACACACTCATGCATGCTTGCTGGAAGTCCAAGCCTCTCACCCACAAAACCTCCTTTACCCCTTCCCTCCAACCTTTTCGAGGACGACCCCTACCCCTCCTTCCTTCCCCTACAGATTTATACGCTCTCCATGTCATTCTACTTTGATCCATTCTCTCTAAATAACCAAATCACCTCAACAACCCCTCTTCAGCCCTTTGACTAACACTTTTATTAACTCCACACCTTCTCCCAATTTCCACACTCCGAATTTTCCAGAATGTAGTATAACCTATACCCTAAGAGTAACAACTCTGGAACATGTGTAATACGTATCCGGCTGGCTGGCTGACCGAATGTGGCTCTCTCTCTGTATCTCTCTCTCTCTGTATCTCTCTCTCTCTCTGTATCTCTCTCTCTCTCTGTATCTCTCTCTCTCTATCTCTCTCTCTGTATCTCTCTCTCTCTGTATCTCTCTCTCTCTGTATCTCTCTCTCTCTGTATCTCTCTCTCTCTGTATATCTATCTCTCTCTCTCTCTATCTATCTCTATATATCTCTATCTCTCTCTATCTTCTCTCTATCTATCTCTTTTTTTTTTTTTACACAAGGTTTGATAAGGTTAAGGATCCCTAGCTTTAATGACAAGCTATTTACAGGTTAAGGATTCCTAACTTTATTGGCAAGCTAAGAGCTGTTACCTACATCAGCTCATTTGAAAGCATTTTTATTGTTATGAGACATACAAGTAGGGAACAGGATGAAGTTGGAGCCATCTGTGGGCCAGCATTTTCATTTGATCAACTGACTTTATCTTGTTGACATCGTTATGCTGTACGAATGTGTTCCATACTCGAGTCATCCTGGGTA